TAAAACAAGGTCTGGGTAGGCAGGTTATGCTCTAAAATGCAGTAAAATGTTTCTTAACTGAGCAATCTCGGGACTCGTAGTGTAGACGTAGTGACAATTTACTTGTTCAATATTATTATAACTAACTTTGCCCGACCCGTCAAACAGTGACAGGTTGGAGTTTTGTAAAAAATAAAAACAATTGTCAAGTACAATCTCAAAAAATCAATAAGAATGGTACAAACGCAAATTAAAAACGACTCATAATATGAGAGTTACACACACGCACAAAATAGACTCTTATATATATATATTAGACCAGTTACCCGGGGTACTAATAAATAACTCTAGATGGTAGGAGTGAAATGTCCCACTAACATAAATAATCTTATTACCCAAACCTTGTCGCATAACATCCCAGTAGAAATCGTTGAAATATACCGATTTATCTACTTCGTAAAGCTGTCTTATTGAAGTAGCTCCGTGGTATGTGAAATTTCATAATTCCACAAAGCTGATGTGACCTTTGTAGCTGTTAGTTTTGGCCTTTGTAAGCTGCTGTGCTCTGTGCAGTTAGGATAGTTTTTGCTGCTCTAACCTATACAATTAAGATAATTTTTCTGCAGTTTTAGGTAAAAATCTAGTATATATAGTTTTGTTGCTAAGCTCACAGGGAAAGGGAGCATTACCAAACGACAAGTGGCATTTATATATATAAACATGAAAAAACTTCAAGTTTTAACGGAAAGTAGGGATGGTTGATTAGTCGTAGAATTGCAATAAGAAGTATCCAAAACAAAATAAATGCTGCAATAAAAGTACATAAACAAATAGTGATACTAGTTTTAAAATCTATCAAACTAATATCACTTTATTTGTTTGTGTACTTTTAATGCGGCATTTATTTTGTTTTGGATACTTCTTATTGCAATTCTACAATTAACTAACCATCCCTACTTTCCGTTAAAATTATAACATTTTCCCCTCATTTATTAGTTCAGTTCTTATATGTCCATGGAATAGACACAACATCTGTAAACTTTCAGTAGGGCCATATCCCTCATAGCTATAACTTTTACAAGAATTAAAACCACAATCAAAAATTTAATCCTTACTTTGGCCTACAGATAAGTGTATAAATCTGCCAAAGTAGGTATTACATTTTATAAATTTATGATTGTGGTTTTAATTCTTGTTTCATTACTTTTCGTAGTAGGACCCCTACTTCATTTTAAAATTCATAATTCTTAATACTCTTGTTTGTTTACTTTTTATCATATACCCTTAGAAACTGTCGCGTGCCTGTCTATCGATATGTGAAAAGATATTTAAGTACATGCATGATATGTTTATTATTTATATTGTACCTGTATATGTATATAGATTTTTATCAGAATATCAAAATAGGTTGTCCACAGATTAGTAAAGTAAGCTGGAGAAATCTTGTAACGATAATCCTGGCCGCCCAGGCTCTAGCCCCGCTGACGTGATCAGGTAGGTAGGTAGTAAACGAAAGAGTTGCCGTTTTCGAAATTCTTGAATTGTTATACCGGAAATGTTAGCGATCTTTTAGGCATATTATAAGTATATATCATAACCATACTTTGAATGGTCGGTTTTTCGCTTAGGAATTCGATAAGGTGGTTTTTCGGCATGTGAATTATTTGGAATTCTTGTCGATCCGTACTATTAAGTACCACCATACTTAAATTTAGTTACAATCCTCCAGAACGATGTATTTCTATATCGAGAACTAATACACAGCTTCTTCGAACTTAGACTATATCTCCTTAGTTTTATCACCTAAAATACATAAGCATTTTAGAGCTTCAAAACTTGTTTTTATATCATTGTTGTGATAAGCAGTGAATAAAATGTTTATGCTCTGTTGGAAATACTTAAAAGTAATTGCTTTCATATTATTTGAACAGTTGAGAAGTTCAACTAGAAAAACTTGCATTTTATACACAGTTTAACAAATATGTGAAATAAATCAATACAATTTATATTACTAGCAGGAAGTTGCGCTAGGAAAACATCAAAATTACACAAGTAATTTGGATACAGATTTCCAGTTGATAAAAAGGTTCCCAATGAAATACTATAGCAGTTCAGTAACAATTTGGTCCCTGAACTTCGTCGATTTATTTATAATTAAATTTACTGAACCAAATTAGGTATCTGGAGTCACTAACAAAAGTATAATTTAGAAAACTTTATTTACAAAGCTACTTAACGAAGCAATTAACACACATTTTAATTTACAACTTACGATATTTTCTATATGTAGAACACATTGGACTAACCTTTACCATATTGGTTCTCTAAAAAATTTATGCCTCCAGGTGGAAGGAATGGTGTTATATCTTGTTTATGTGATCACTAACTTTAAAGGCATATATTTCAATTAAACTGGATCAATTCAGTTATGTCCTACCTATCTAAAGTATTCCCTAGGAAAGTTTATTTCAATGAAGAACTTATATTTTCACCATTCATGTTCTACTATGTGAACCATAATGATGAATAAGCAAATAATCACATTGAAATTACAAAATGGAAATAGTATGTAATGCAACCCATGGGTTAAAAGTTAGTAAAATGATGATATATCTTTATGTTCAGTGATTTGAAACTACAAGTTTCTTCTACATATAATTTTATCAAATTTCAGGTACGATTGAAAAACATCACATTCTTTTACACCACAGCCTTATTGCGTACAGATACAAGTAAATACAATTCAACCCAAATAGTGACTCAAAAAACAGCAATGACTATGGATGACTCCGCAATTGTGGGTATTCAACATGTGTCGAGAAACCTAACGGGTCTTCAAAGTGACATGAAAACTCTCTTTTTAGAAGTATGTGATACCAAAGATGAGCTAATTAACCTAAATCAACAAGTTTTTACTTTGTGTGTGAAGTTACGCAAGATGGAAAAAGACACACGGGAATTGTTATTTTTAGAAAATACAATAGCTTTCCTGCAGATAGTGAATGATAACATTTTCCTTCTTGAAGTTTAAAAGAAGTTTACAAAAAAAAATTAACCATCAAGCTTTAAATTGTAATCCACATAGAAAAAATTTTAAAATTTGTGTACCATCTAAATCTTTTAAAACAAATAAATTATTTTTATGCTATGTTGTTTGTAAAGGAATCATTGCATATTAAAAAATGTTTTTTTGTATTTTTTCTTCACCTACTGATATTGGATATTTAAATGTTATTTATAATACCTGCTACAATATTCATTTCAGTAAATCTCAATAAATATTCAAACTTTAAAAAAATCTATAAATTTCCTTGTAAATATTTTATGTTTTTTCAATTCATTGATGAAGACTTTTATTAATAAAATGCCTAACTACAATATTTATTTTCGACAATTCCAATAAATTTGGAAACTTTTAAAAATCTAGGTAGTCTTCCCACAAAGTGAATTTACACAATATAGTTTGGAAATAATGTCCTCTCTGATTAGTTAATTTGTTGTGTGCTTAAACTTAACTAGCCTTCTAGCTAAACCACTTTTCTTTCTTTACCAATTACTGAATTTTAGTTACTAAATGGATAACTTGTATAACAGTTGAAACTCAACAGACTAAATGTATATAATAATGCTTTCAGGTAACAAATTCAAAAATTATCAAAGCATGTCACTGGCAGTGAAGAAACCTGGGTGCTTTCCTTTTCTCGTATTCTACATTGACAATTATGAACTTATCATTAGCTCAGGATTATTATGATATATATATATATATATATATATATATAATAAAAATAATGGCACAGTGACTGTACTTTACAAAGATGTTTACTTACGAGGGTAATTTAGAATAGATAAATAGTAACGACCAAGACACCACCTTGAATTA